CCTCCGTCTCGTCTTCCCCAGCGCGATATTTTCATTTTAGCGACTTCCATCTCCTCTTCTTTCTTTCTTTTCTTATTTCTTTCTTTCTTTCTTTCTTTTCACTCTCTTTCTTTCTTTCCTTCTTTTCACTATCTTTCTTTTTTTCTTTGTTAGTAGGAGCGTCTCCATGCCATGCAACATAGCCGGCGTCACCATAGTTTTGAATACCTTTCCTTCACTACTTGCAGACACCTTTCTGTTGCTTATCACTCCTGTGACCTTCCTCCAGCCATTCCATTCAATCTGCAATAATAATGATAGTAATAATGATAATGTCAATGATAGTGTTAATGATAATGAGAATGATAATGATAATAATAAGGATAATGATAATAATGAAAATAATGATGATAATGATAATGTTAATGATAATAATGATAATAAAAATAATAATGTAATACTGATAATACTGATAATACTGATAATAATGATAATGATAATGAGTAATAGTAACTATAATTGTAATAATAATGAAATAATAATAGTGATAGTGATAATGACAATGATAATTTTAATAGTAATAGTAATAATGATAATTAGTAGTGATAATAACAATAATGATAAGGATAACAATAATAATAATGATGATGATAATGATAATAATAATGATAAAGATTATAATATTAAAAACAACAACAATAATAATAATAACAATAATAACAATAACAATAATAATAATAATAATAATAATAGTAATAATGATAACAAAAATAATAATAATAATAATAATAGTAAGAATAGTAATGACAAAATGATAATAATGATAATGATAGCAATCGCTGGTGCGCCGGGTGTGTAACAAGGATTATAGAAAAGTGGTTAGAGAAGTGTAGTTATAATATGAACCGAACTACCATAAAATACAACATTACTAGTGACAGAAAGGACCTTGAGAGGGGTGCTTGAAGTCTAAATAATTATGATTTGATGATAATAACAATTTAGTTTGATTCCATTTGTTACAATGGATATTCTTGATGTGACATGCTGTCTATTTCATTTTGCTCCTATATTACCCCATGTGTGCATAATGATAATAATCATAACAACAGCAATGATAATAATAATAATTATTATTATTATAATCATTACTATTATTATTATTACTACTATTATCATTAAAGATGCTGATACTATTATTACTAATGATCGTGGTAATAATGATAATAATAGCAATAATAACAGTCATAACAATAATGATGATGATATTAAAGATGATATTGTACCTATAATGGTACTGATAATGAAAAAGAAATAATAATGTTAATAACAGTAGAAATATTGATGATAATGATAATGCTAAAATAACGATAATGATGATAATTATACAGATGATGATGATGATAGTATTAATGACAATGCTAATGCTGATGATAATAATGATAATAGTAATAACAATCATAATAATAATGATAATGCTATTAGTAATAATAATAATGATAACAATAATAATAAAAAATACTTACAATAATAACAATAATGATAACAGCAACAACAACAATAATAATAATAATAAAAATAATAGAAATTATAATAATAATAATGATACTACTTATGATAATAATAATAATGATAATAACAGTAATAACAATAATCATAATGATAAATTTGATAATGACAGTTATGATAGTGGTAATTTTGATAATAATAGTTATGATAATAATAATAATAATAATAATGATAATAATAATAATAATAATAATATCAGTAATAGTAATAATCATAATAACAATGATGATAATAATAAACATAATGATAACAGTAGTAATAATAATAACAAAAATATTGTCTTATCTTGAAAGACAATTTTAGTTTTCGAAAGCTATTGTTGTTCTCTAACCAATCGTTCTCATCAAATTTCAAAACCGTTGTTTATCTAGCCTGAAGTTTCTAAATCATATGCCAAAGTTAACTTCAAGAAAGAAAGAAAGAAAAAAAAAAAACGCATTAATCAAAATATATCTTTATGTATTTATTCAGATTACATTCCTTTTGTGATTGGTGTTATTCACATACCTCAGCTTAATCATAATCAAAGTGGCACTATTTTAGTTACATTTAAATATTTCAACGTCTACAAGTACGCTTACATATTGCTTTTATTGAAAACGTTAATCGTGAAGGACCAATGATAACTTTATTGCTGTCAATATTGAGTGGTATCAGATATCTGATTTGTAACCACAATAATTTCATCTCCCTGTGTATACAACTCAAAACATACAGGAATCGAAAACACGCAGTCAAAATCCCTTGTTTTGGAACGCTAAATTAAACGCTTACTCAAAACCACAGTTTTATTCCTAATTCCACAAAGAAGTCATCGTAATTACACAAACAAGGCAATTTCACACAAAGAAGTCAGCGTAATTACCCAAACAAGGCAATTTCACACATAGAAGTCAGCGAAGTTACCGCAAACAAGGCAATTTCACACAGAAGTTAGAGTAATCGCCCAAACAAGGCCATTCCTCCAAACAACCATTCATCGCCGATATGCTGTTGCCGTCTACGTGGGCATTTTAACCTCTTGGTGGATTGTAACCGGTGCTTGGTGCTCCGATGGGGCTGCCGACGACCGATGGGACGCTGGAATGTTGCAAGGATGGGAATTCGTTAAATCAGGTGTGATGTTTTTGCGGTAATATGTATTGTATCAACGTTCTTATAGATATCAAAATGATATGTTGTTATTGTCATTGCCATTATCGCTATTATTATTGTTATTATTATTGCTATTATTATTATTATTATTATTATTATTATTCTCATTATTATCATTATCATTGTTATCATTATTATTATTATCATCATCATTATCATTATTATTATTTTGCTTATCAAAACCAAGTGAAAGCTATCGGCATTATATATGTTTCTTGGCACAATGCAACCGAATAAGAAGCTAAATATTTATTGGTGTATGAAAGGAATCTCATAAACCAGATGTGTTATCAATGTCCTGCATTGAAAGATATCAGTATTGCGTTCATGTTATAGATTGAGTATAGAGTAATTTTTCTATGCAAGGGACCTCATAAACTAGGTATGTTATCCATGTCCTCATGTGAAAGACATCGCGCTTTAATGCCTTTTAACGCGTTTTATGCAAGCAGCCAAATGTGTTCATTGTATGAAGGAAACCAAGGCAGACTTACGGTGCGCTTCCGCCACTCCCGCCGCCGCCGCCGCCTGCACCTCCGCTGGAACCAGCAGCGCCTCCGAAACCACTGGCGGCCCCACTGGAGCTAGCAGCGCCTCCGAAGCCTCCGCTGGCAGCTCCACTAGAACTGGCAGAACCTCCGGCGCCACCACTGGCGGCCCCGCTGGAACTAGTTGCGCCGCCAAAGCCGCCTGCGCTAGCTCCACTGGTGCTTGTGGCTCCGCCAGCGCCACCGCCTCCGAAGCCACCCCCGGCGCCACCAAGACCTCCAAAGCCGCCAGCGCCGCCTGCTCCTCCGCTGAAGCCTCCGCCACCAGATCCTCCGGCACCGCCGCCGAAGCCTCCACCGGTGCCAAAACCGCCGCCAGCAGAACCTCCACCGAGACCGCCAGCGCCGCCACCGAAACCTCCGCTGCCTCCTGCTCCGCCACCGAAGCCTCCGCCGGCTGCCCCTCCTGAGCCGCCGCCGAAGCCTCCGCCGGTTGCGCCTCCAGAACCGCCGCCGAAGCCTCCGCCAGTTGCGCCTCCAGAACCGCCGCCGAAGCCTCCGCCGGTTGCGCCTCCAGAACCACCGCCGAAGCCTCCGCCAGTTGCGCCTCCAGAACCGCCGCCGAAGCCTCCGCCAGTTGCGCCTCCAGAACCGCCGCCGAAGCCTCCGCTATGGCCGCCAGCGCCGCCGCCGAAACCTCCGCTGCCTCCCGCTCCGCCGCCGAAGCCTCCACCTAGACCGCCAGCCCCTCCTGCAGCGCTGCCGAAGCCTCCGCCTCCGCCCCCAGCCGTGGCCCCGAAGCCTCCTCCGCCTCCGCCTGTGGTGCTGCCGAAGCCGCCGCCTCCGCCGGTCCCGAAGCTGCCTCCGCTGCTACTGCCGAAGCTGACGCTGGACCCGTCGAAGGTGCCGCCGCTGCTGCTGCCGAAGTTGCCGCCGGGGACGTTGCTGCCGAAGGTGCCGCCGCTGCTGGTGTCGAAACCTCCTCCCAGAAGATTTCCGCTGCTGCTGCTGCCGAAGCTCGTCCCGCTGCTCCCGCTGCCGCCCACCGCCGCTCCGACTTTCCCCCCGCCGCCGCGACGTCCCCCTCGACCCCGCCCGCGCCCACGCCTACGGCCGCCCTCATATTCCTCCGGCTGAGGGTCCGCCGCCGCCAGGCAGAGGAGCGCCGTCACGGCCGCGACCGCCACCTGGAAGGAGCAAACGGGGGTCAGGCCAATGCTTCAGATGCTTCATTCGGTCTCGTATTTCTATAATTTTAGTCAACTTAATCCACTCAAATGTTTCCTCGGCTGAACTCGGTCTAAAGTATCCGTAGCTTCACTCGATCTCGTATTTCTATTACTAAATTTAAGTATTAACTTAATTCTCTCAAAAGCTAAACTCGGTCTCGTATTTCATTAAATGAATTTAGAATAATTAACTTTAAATACATTAATTCATCCTCCATGTTTCCTCGGCTGAATCCGGGCCAGTGATTCCGAGTTGAATCTGATGTTCGTGAGTAACTGTCATTACCTCAGCTAATTTCACACTCTTTCTAATTACTTTCTCAGATCAATTCAGTCTTTACTATTCCTCAGTCGAATCTAGCGTGACGTTATTTCAAATGATTTCAGAAAATTAATCTCACATTGACTCAATTCGTATGCAGTCTAACGTTTCCTCAGCCGAATACAGTCTCACATTTTAATTCAGTCTCACATTTTAATTCAAATAGTAGTCAGCCTAACTAACGTACGTATAAAGGGTACTTACTAGAGTGCGGGAGAGCTTCATGTTTCTTCTCGGTTCGCTGAGACTCCGAGATAGTGTGGTATCGGTTCGGTTTCCCTACTGTATTTATAGTCACTTATCCCTTCCTCAGACCTACGGCACTAACAGTTGCCAGGTATTGCATAACGATCGAGTATTACCACACCAATTGAAAAGACCGACATTTCATATGCTCGTCTCACGTATCTGAACGAGTTGGTCTTCGTAATGAGAGTGTATTTCTCTCATAATTACCTATCTCTTTTACGATATCAATTAATTGCATATCTAGAGAAGAACACACACACTATTAAGCGAAAAGAAAAAAAAAGGGATAAAAGATAGATGATGGGAAATCCAGTTCCGTCAAAATTATGTTTAGTCACGAGGACGATCTGGCTTGCCTTTCGACTTGAAGTTTGAGATTTCCCCGTTCGCTTCAGTATCTTTCGTAAGAATACTGGCTTCCAAGAGCACTTATTCTGTTATTCATCGCATTGTTATTCATATAAGTCACTTATTTGATCCCTTCCTTCGTTTGGCTTAAATCAAATTGAATTAAATCAAACTGAATTAAAGTTTTACCAATGGATATCGACGTGCGCGATTGCCATAAAGCATTGATAGACGAACCTCCATCATCATAAGCCGATTTGGTGTTGCAAAATGCAGTCCCGGAGATGCATACGATTTCAAAGTTCAACTGAATTATCGCGAACAGCGCTTGCGAAATATAATCTGCATATGGGGTTATATTTAGATACAGTTCTCATGTTCCCTGAATAAATTATTGTCGTGGTAGGTGTTCATTTTTCTCTTTCTTATGTTCTGTTTTATATGTAATCGTAATGACGTGTGTGTGTGTGTGTGTGTGTGTGTGTGTGTGTGTGTGTGTGTGTGTGTGTGTGTGTGTGTGTGTGTGTGTGTGTGTGTGTGTGTGTGTACGTGCTTGTGTAGTTGCGTGGGTGCGTGTGTAGATATAATCATATATGTCGGTATACATGTAGGTACGTTAATATATCCACACAAATCATACGCTATACCTCGATAAACCCATTCGAAAACAAAATCAACATACCTATATATACAGTACATACTCTCACAGATACAAAGACCACCTGATAACCATACCTTACATATTGAATTATATGCATCCACATACGAATTAAAGCAACTGATGTTTATCAATCGCCTATCTAGACTGTGAGTAAAGTGTAACACTAGAAAAATGATGATTAATCAATTTTACTCTGTATATGAAGATGTGCGTATATCTACTGAAAGTCTCATTTTTTATTAGAAAATATTTCTTTGTCTGTTGATTTGTCCAATTTATTTAGTGTTCTTTTTATTCATATATTCTATTTATCTATCTTTTTATCTATAGAGCCCTTTCTTTGTTGTTTTTTTTTATTTTTTTATTGAGCTATTTATATATATTTTTCAATATTCATTGTTTTGGTTCAAAATCCCTCACAAAAATGAATCTTCTATTGTTACCAAAATATCTTTTCTTGAATATCGTCCGAGTTGGCAACAAAATCTCTGACCAGTTGCCCTTGTGTAAAACTATCTTTATATATATTTTATTCTCTTATTAAAAAAAAACAAAAAAACTTGAGATTACGTGCGTATATGAATTGTCTTGTCTGTACTTCTCTGTGCAAGATTTCGAGTTACATATATCGGTATCAATATTTTTCATAGTTGCTTTACGGTAAGTACAGCTTCAGTGAGCCATATATCTACCTGTTTATCTATCTATATGTATTTATCTATATGTATATATGTATATATATACATATGTATATATACATACATATATATATATATATATATATATATATATATATACATATATATATGTATATATATATACATATATATATACATATATATATATGTATATATATAAATATACATATATATATACATGTATATATATATGTATATATATATATATATATATATATATATATATATATATATATATATATATACATATATATATACATGTATATATATATGTATATTTATATATATATATATACATATATATGTATATATATATATATATATATATATATATATATATATATATATATATATATATATATATATGTATATATATATACATATATATATACATATATATATATGTATATATATATAAATATACATATATATATACATGTATATATATGTATATATATATATATATATATATATATATATATATATATATATATATATATATATGTGTGTGTGTGTGTGTGTGTGTGTGTGTGTGTGTGTGTGTGTGTGTGTGTGTGTGTGTGTGTATGTGTGTGTGTGTGTGTATATATATGTATATATATGTCGGTGTATTTATATACATACATATATATATATATATATATATATATATATATATATATATATATATATATATATATATATATATATATATATTCACACACACACGTATCTCCAGCTCTAAAATGCGGAAGTTCCAGACTGTACATCTGCATATTATCTAGTCAGTACGAAGCAGTTGTCAGCAGGACCTACATCTGTG